AACATGAATATTTATTTTCGTGACATTTTGAAGCAGCATTGTCCAATGTGTTGACTCAATAAAGACCAGGCCATAGTTAGGGCCTAGGCAGAATGAGTTCATTTCAGTGGACTGATTGTATAAAGTTCGCTCAGGATCTCTAAAAATATAACCGAATATTTCTAAATCTTGCCGACATTTCAAAACAACATCGATAATAATCGCTCATTTCATCCCCGTATGTAACAAGTTTGAACACCATTTCCATCATCAAGTGGAGCAGCTAACGCTGCCAAATTTCTGGGTCTGTTTAGAATATAGGTGTTGGAGTGGAGATCATGGATGCACCAGGCCGAAAATGAAAGGCGGCTTCGGCGACACCACAATCTGGGAAGGTCCCGATGGAGAGGCACGAGTGTACGAGTGGTGGGAGGATCCGGCTGTTCCAGGGTCGGGCTGCTCAGCCGACAAGGGGCTGCACCCTGACACACTGAGCAACGGGCGTGGTGGAGCAGTCATCTAATACGGTGGACAGCAGTGATGAGGATTGAGCTGTGAGACATCCAAGGAGATGGCAGAACCAACATGGATTGTTCCTCCATCTGTGCAGAGTTTTGAGGGTTACCCCCTTGTCGCTTTCTGACTTTCCCCTATTGGATATCTGTTAAAATAGCTTCATAGCTCATCGGATTTGTCCTGGACTTACATAGATTCTGATTATTATTGTAAGTATGCCAAACACTGTGGTAAGTGGCTAAACAATAAAATACAGTTCCCCCCTGAAAGAGATTTGAGACTAAGTGAGGCAATCCTGGGTACATAATTGTCCACATTTTTACTTGCTGTACTGCCTCCTACAGACATTTAATTAGCCTGTAGCGGGACGTCTCGACCATATATCTGTGTGGTCCACGAATCCGACCTTCAAGTCTGGATTACACAATAGGTTTTGGAGAAATAAATTGTGATGATTTTTACGGCAATGGTCGAAAGTGTTGACAATGTGTGTGCTTGTAGAATTAGTTAAAGCCAAAGTGCATGTATGGTAATATGAAAATATATATATAATTATAAGTTCGTGCTGCAGCAAAGCACGCACACAACAACGCTCTGATGTGTTTTCGGGTTGTTCTGCGTGTTGTTTAGCATTATGCCCGACGTTTCCTGAATAGTCCCCTCACTGAAGAAGCTTCGAGTGCAGGGAAAAAAACTTCATGCATTATGCGGAACATCACACGGTACAACCCGAAAACACATCAGAGAGCCGCGCAGCACGACGTGAAAAGCTTTTGCAAAAGTAACAACTCGTTCCGTGCAATGATGAATGTGGTGTTCTCCGGAGAAGCATCAATATTTCACGGAGCTAAAGATAACAACTTGGATTGGATTTTTTATTACGTTAATTTTATGGATCGCAACTGGTTGATGGCACGATTAACACGAACAAAAATACCGTTTAAAGTTCCATAGAGGGAAAAAAATATATCTACAACCCAAAAGCAGAGTTGTTTTTCAAATTGTTGCGTCTCATTACACGTGAATGACAGTTCCCCATTCCACAGTCATCCTTGTTCGTTTCACATCCGCTCAAGGGGCTAAAGGGAGTCTTTGCCGCCTGTAATACAGCAACTGTAGGTGATATTTTTTATTATTACACGCTTTTATTTCACTCACTCTGTTGTTGTTGTCGTTATTATTGTCGTATCCTCAAATCTTGCAACTCAATTTTAACCCACTTCCCAATGTGGTATCGACTGCAAACTTGGTAGACTTATGTCATACTCATGACAATACTATATTCTATCATTAAAATAAAAAAATCTTTTTAAACCATCTTTTTTATATGTTATGTTTCGGCTTGGGTCTAATTGTCCAGGGTCAACTGACGTTGGCTGTAAATCACCACGTTATGGCAAGCTTCGGGGCCACTTCATGGAGTCGTGGAATTTTGCCATTGCGAGTACGGTACATTTCATTAAAACGTGTTTAAAAAAAAGCATTTTTAAATATGACTTATTTACATTACCTCCTGCATTTGTGAAGTTGCTGCCGTGCGTGAAACGTGCGTAATAATGATAAAGACACATCACCTATGTTTAACCATTACACCGTGGCGGTGAGCAGACTGCAGTTATATTCGTGAGCCTTCCACAAATCATGACCCAGGTGCTGACAAGGTTTTTTTTGACAGGAGACATATTACAGGTGTGAAACTTGTCAGCTATATCCAGCAGTCTGTGAAAATAACAACAAGAATTATTAAAGGGGCGATTAGTACATCACAGCCCTTTGTTATTCACTGCTGAATGAAGGCGTCCTCACACTGTGATATATATATATATTAAAAATATATGTTTAAATACTGCCAGTAACAAAAACAAAATATTGAAAAATAAAATAACTTTTGACAAATAAAACTAAATTCTGAAAGTAAAAATAATAAAAATCACTTCCATTAAAAGCCATCATAACTTGCTTCCAAAAGATGACAGATGCCTTTACTGGAAATAGTAAAATACCATGAAATATTTTTTTTCATATTAATGTTGAAATATTTACAAGGGCACTAAACATGTAATTCTTATCTTCACGCAGACATTCCAGAGAGTGGGAGAAGAGGCAATAGCCAAGAATGTCGAGACACTGGGCACAAATTCCCCGCGTGTGTGACCTCGTGCGAGCTGCTGTAATTACAGCAGAGTCCATTTTTGGTTAAAACTTTTAATGTTATATTTTTTCCTCTTGGCAGCCCAGAGGTTGTGCCTGCAGTTGTCTTTCATGTATTTATGTACGTACTTTGATCTTCTTTATGTATGTATGTATGTGCAACGAGGCGCTTGTAAACGTCTCATCGACAAACTTTAGCAATGTCTGCTTCACGCTGTTGTAAGGCCGGTGGCAGAGTAGCCGTTGCATTCAACATTCGGCTCTCAAACGTGCCCGGATCGGGCACTCGTCATGATCACTAAATAAGTAGCGGACGCACGAATGATTGTCCATGTATGCATTCTGCCATGGGGGTGCAAGGGTTCAATATGTATGTTGAACTTCTTTCGCACCGTACGTAGCCAACCGTGCTAATCGGAGGTGCGGCGGGAAGGACAACAAACTAAACACATAGAAACTGTATTAAGAGAACGAGTTTTCAATCTAGATTTAAAAGGGAATAGCTCCAGTGACTTCCTGGTATCGGAAGAACATTCCAGACGTCCAACAAAAACGCATCTGAAAGCGTGCGATGCGGTAACCGTCTTTGTTCGATGGATAGCTAAAAGCCGCTACTGCAAGGATGAGTGGAGTTCGCGTGATGGTTTAACTTCACCTGGAGGTTGTGTTGCCCGACATGAGACTTGTATTATGACATGATACATGCTATTTTTATTTACATGTGGTATACTTTACGTGAATGTCTTCTGGTTCATACAAGTACCAGAAAACAGTGCTCATTTCATATTGTATTCAGTGGTGGAAATTCCACGTTTCCATAATGAGCACAGGTCCGTCCTAAGAATGACCACTTTTGGACTGCCACAGAGTAGCACTTATGTTATTGACCATAAAGGGATGTTGGTCTGAGTGGACCCCGCCTGTTGGATTTGACCAAACAACTTGTCCAATTGTGAGTGGAATGCTCAACCAACACACGACACCTGGCTAATATATATGAATGTATTCACTTCCAGTATGTACATTTAATGAGCAGAGACGTAGTGTTTGTGTATGTGCACTCAGCATTAGCTTTGAGTATTAGAGCACTCGGCTACGATCACATTAACGTTTGTGATTTCTGACCCTGTAGAACACCAATGGCGATTTGTTTATTAGCCATCCCTGGGCCTCCTCTCGGCAAATCTAATCAAATCTAACACCTGCTAGAGTGAAGGTCTCAATACCAGTACCACACCATCTCATTTGCGCTCTAGCTGACCTAAACAAGTCATTACTAAAAGCGTGTTCACTTGCATACAGGGTTTAAAGCAAAAGGGCGATTTGGATGTATAAACCTGTGTGTGCCTTTGCACGTGACTAGCACGGTTGGATACGTACGGTGCGAAAGAAGTTCGGCATACATACACACAAGTGTGTGTGTGTGTGGTAAGAAATCACTGATCATACACCAAAGTCAATCGCTCAGACCCAAAGTTAAGGGGTCCTATATTATATTCCCGTTCACATCATTTGCAAGCGTACACAATGAAGTGTCTCCATTCAGCAAGTCCTCTGTCCACCCCAAGAGTGAACGGGCAAGGGATATGGCTGTCAGTTGGTTTATGGGGCACTCATAGCTGGGAAAAGTGTGTGCGCCTTCATCTCTTCCAAAGCCCCTGGCTGGTCTTGGCTGAAGCCCCTTTTAAAAAGAGTAACAGACTCTCTCCTGCAGCGCTTATGTGCCGTGCTGACTTGTGCTAAGGCATAGTAGAAGTGAACGTGTAAAAAATAAATCACTGCTTAAATGCACACATATATACACGGCAATTGTGAAGTGGAATTAAGCCTACAGTAAGAACCTGTCATCATTAAGTAGATTTGGCTACATACGTTGCGAAATAAGTTCAACATACATACGTTTATAAAATAAAATACACTTTTAAGTAAAATTTATATTCCTGATACTATTCTCTGTGTGCCAAAACTTAGGTGTGGAGTTAAGTTTTCACTTTAGTAGAAATTGATCAACTACGATTTTACCTTAACGCCACCGTTTCCCGGGAACCCTCTCCTAATTGACTGAACAACTTCGTACGGCTTCAGCATGGGGGGCACTATAAAAAAAATAACGTGCCCCCTAAACGAATACAAACGGCCTTCTCCACCTTCGAGCGCCCCTCTGTTTATTAATCCTCTGGCGCCCCACCAAATTACACGGCTGTCTAAACATTTACGTCAGCAAATTGACATGCGCGTGTGATGGTCGCCGGATAGAGAGCATTCCTGTACAGGGGGTTATTTACGGAGAGCTTACGAGCGTTCCATGGCGTTCCACGGTGCGATCCGTGGCCACTGCCAGTGACGCTCAGAGCGATGACCTCATCTGCCAGCCTTATTAGGAACCAGGCAGTATATGAACCCAGATCCTTGCACGAAAACGACGTTTGCCGCGGTAGTTCCCAGTGTGAGCAGGCGCTTCTGCTCCCTGCAGCCACCAGCCCCCACCCCGCCACACCCGTGGCTTTTACTCATTTCTTCTTGGGAACTTCGAACGGATTTTGCCGAACGGGGGGGAAATAAATCTCGTGCTTCCTGCTCTCTCTTTTTGGCGGGCACTGCGATCATCCCAGTCCTGAAAGATGCTGCTCGATTGCTAGCCGCTGCCATCCCAACGACGACGACAACACAAACGCGCGCGCGTTCACGCACGCACGCACACACACACACGGCAGAGCACCTCTTGTCTGGACCGCGCACAGGGAGTAGAACCAACTCACTTCACAGCAGCCACGTCGGTTCGCGAGACTCTCGCGCCGGCCATGTCGTTCGGGTACCGCAAAGAGCTGGACAAGTACGAGGAGGTGGACGAGGATGAGCTCCTGGCTGCGCTGTCGCCGGAGGAGCTGCGGGAGCTCGAGCGCGAGCTGGACAGCATCGACCCCGATGAGTCTCTGCCCCTGGGCCACAGGCAGAAGAGCGCGACCAACAAGGCACCGACCGGCAACTACAGCCGCAAGGGCCTCCTCACCTACTGGGAGAAGGAGACCAAGAAGATGCTGGAGGAGGAGCACCTTCCCGCGTCGCTGCTCGACGGACAGGTGAGCCGCTGGCGAAGCCCCTCGACGCGGCGCTCGTTCGACCGGGTTGAGATGTCGCGTCGAGAGGTGACATGGAAGTCTGTGTCTCTCTCGAGAGGGGTTTCAGTCGTTTTTTTTTTCAAGGAGCTAAACGAAAGTTTCGACGTTCACTTTCAAAGGTAAAGAAGTCACCGTGCTTAAATTGAGCGTGCGGCGGTGCTTGTCCCTGTTCGCGATGGGAATTCCAGACTCTGATCAGCGCGACCGTTCTTGTCAATGGACAACTACTGTCCTCAACATGGCACTGATTTTACCAACCACAAAGGGATTCGAAGTCGAACCATTCTGATTGCGAGTCAGCCATTCTGGATCACGCAGCTGCCTTTGTATCATCTAATTAGGAACACTTGTCAAGTGCCATTTAGCGATAAGAAACGAGCACGTGCCGGCAAATCACATGACAGAGTCTTTAATGTGCTCTGCACTGAAGTTTGCACACTTTGGTTATTCCCTGCAGATATTGTTAGCTGGAAGAAGAAGGAAGCGAGCTGTTAACTTCTTTAGCCTGCCAATCACTGAACAATCCAGTGGCCATATAAGGGGAAGTACATTGTTTTGTTTGAAACACGGGGCATGAAATGTACGCTGAGGAATGTGGTCTGACATTTCCGAGGCGTTAACATCGAGTATTAATGTGCACATTTGTTAAATATATATTACTTTAAAGGATACATTGGGATTACATATATACCCGACACCATATCCGTACATTGTGCCATTCGTTTGGTACATTATTCTCAGAACCTTGCAACGACCCCTCATGTATTAAACCAATCCTCCGCCCACATTTGTTTAGCTTTTCCATGTGTGTGCTTGCTTACCGGAATGCTTTGGGACATATCAAAAACGCATTTGAGCCAGAATTTGCATTTTAATATTCCGTAGGGTCTCTGTGTGCACAGCTCTCCGTGTCGTATTTGTTTGGACCGACTATTTGTGTAATAAAAGAGAGTGTGCGTGTGCCATGCACGTTCAAATATATGGCACGACCGTATATTTAAATTATGTTTGGCCATGTTAGCGAAAAAGGAAATCTAAATATAGTTGACATATATGCATTTGTAAACAGCCAACATGTGTCACATTTGAGCCTGGTTTATTGAATGTGGTCCCCTGGCGTGCCAGGCTAAGACATGGCTCAGCTGCTCGCGCAGCAGACATTCCCAGTCACGAAATTGCAAATATCAAATCCTGGCCACGGTTGGACTCAGCCAATCACTCTTCTGCATTTCACATCCATAGTGAGGCGATAGGACTTGGCTGGCGGTAAGCAGAGGTTGTCCAAGAGGAACACTGAACCCCACTCCTGCAAGGTTGAATTTGTTTCATATGGGTGTTGATCTCTCCTTAACCTGGGTCGTACATATGTATGTTTAACTTCTTTCGCACCGTACGTAGCCAACCGTGATAATCTCGGAGATGCGTGTAAGGACAGCAAGCCAAACACAACAAGGAGCACTGGGGAAGGAAGAAGCAACCCAATGGCAGATAGCTCTTATCTCATAGATTTGTAACTAGACTGTCCCCTGACTCCCCAACATGAAATCGACGCTTCATAATAAAAACGAATGCTGCTCCTGTGGTGCAATGGTTATATCTCCCAGAGCGGCAGTTTACACAATGGACAGGTTCCTTGAAACGCCCCGCCTCTGTCCATTCAGCGGTATCAATGGGTGCACCACGGTTAATCGATTGGCAGTGGGGGTAAGGTGTGGGTACTCCCGCCTGGAAGAATATATTGTTTAAAGCAAAAGAGAGCGCTAGGGAAGGACTCACGATTAGGATGTTGAAGTCCCTTATAGCATGAACGAAGCACTACACTTGCGTCGAGCAATCCAGAGCACACGACTTTGCGCATGGGAAAATATGGGCATTAATATAAGAGACAATTTAATGTTTTCTTTTTTTGTAAAAGCTTAAAATATATAACGACAGTACGTATAAGATGCACAACTGCATTGTGCATATGGATGCGAAATGACCGGGATCTCATCTCGTCCATTTCGTAAACAGAATATGACACAATTTTACTGCCCGTGTCTATGTTTACATGTAATGTCTAGAGTTTGAGAAATGTTCCATTCGGTGTTCACAACAGAGTCCCTTCCCTCACCCCTATGCTTTAACAGTGCACAAAATAAATAGCACGTGAGTGATGCACCTCGACTATAATCCCCGCACCCAATGGCGGAGCTAGAATTTTCAGGTCGGAGGGGCAACCCCTCCAGCAACGAAAAATTATAGAGGAGTTGTTAGTAAGTAAGTACTTGTCCCTTGCTTTTTATTCGACGCGTGTGCGGCGATGGTGCAGCCATCGATCGAGGGTCGAATTCGAACCGCGTCGTGTGATCGGCATCGCGCTCGCTGAAGGTGAATGCCTTCAGGGAAGTCGTGTACTGTATTACGCAACTGCGCACAATTCTGTGAGTCACTTATAACTGCTTTGCCGTTACTTCTTGCCAATTATGGACTCAGACTATTGTCCTATCATCTCATAAAGTCCCTGGAACTTAATAATATGCTACACAGTGGCAGTGGGGTCACAAAATGCCGATTTTTATTACTAATAAACCCCAATGATCCGATCGAAATTAGGGGTTTCGATCGGATCATTGGGGGTGCACATGCCACCCCCCACTGGCTCCGCCAGTGCCCACACCACCGATTGGCACGGTTGGCTTACGTACGGTGCGGAAGAAGTTCAACATACAGTACGTACTACTCATTAGCAATATTAATGTCCTCAACATCTCCAGTGCACATGCACACTAATGGGGGCGCATGTCAAATACGATTATTGAATAGCACATTTCTCCAGAGTAGGTGCGTGACTGAGCAGCCTCTTTGTCCGTTCACTCAACAAAAAAACTTTTTGCAGTGGGGGTTAACTGCTCACTTCCTGCAAAACATCAAAGTGCCCTCTGCTCCAAAAGAGCAATTCAGTGGCACATCTGCATTTGTGGCCCTGAGTCAATGGGAAGAAATTCAACACTCGCATGGTGGGAGCCGATCTTACCACAGGATCTACCACCGCATCGCGTGCGTTTTCAGACGCGCTTCTGCGGCCGTCTGGAACGTTCTTCTTTCCGATATTAGGAAGCCACTGGAGCTATGCACTTTTAAATCATCTGGATTGAAAACTCATTTCCCTAGAACTGCTTTTGTGTTTAGTTTGTTGTCTTTCCTCCCCACACCTTTGATTAGCACGATTGGATACATACGGTGCAGAAAAAGTTCAACGCACATACATATTGACTTCCCACCGAGTGTTGCTCACCGAATGAAGGTTGACTGGGATCTCTAACAGAATCCTTGCTTGCTGGAGCAGAGAGTGTGCAGAGGGCAGTACTGTAGAGTGAGATGGCAGGGGAGAGGTAGGCAGTGGACGAGTGTGTGGAGGACATTGAAGAATGTGGGAACTCGAAACTGATCTGGGATTGGATTGGGAGCCGATGAAGGGATCGGAGTATCAGTGGTGATCGATGTGGTCTCGATTTAGAATCAAAATCTTTATTTATACTGGAGGAATCCGATGAGCTATGAAGCTCTTTTTCACAGATGTCTCGTAAGGGGCGGGTCAGAAAGCTTCAACAAACGATGCAAAAACACGACAGAAGTGCAAAGTATAGGATAGGTGAACAAATCACGAAACAAGCCCACTGAGCTTTTAGCTTTTTTTTCAGAAGCGACCTGGCCACAAATTGTAGCTCAACGAAGGGGCTTATCACGTGGACATGTATAGCAGCCAAATAATTGAAATAATCTAATTATTAATCTGAAGAGTGTGTGGGAGAGAGGGCTGGCAGCTACATTTTGGATCACCTGGAATTTGGAGATGGGGAAATTGGGGAGGTTGTACAGGCAGAGTTGCAGTGGTTGAGTTGGGGTGGTGGTGAAGGCATTGATGGGGCTACTAGTGGGCAGCTGGGGGGTAAGCAAATAATGGATGCGAGAGATGGTCGGGCACGTGGAGGCATGATGTGTGAGAAGATAACGATGGATCTCAGGATCGATGACAACTCCACAATATGGCACTCACTTTGCCATGGTGGTGATGTCAAAGTTGAGGAGGTGCACGTATGTCCATATGTTGAACTTCTTCTAAACACCCAACATGTGTCAAATTTGAGCCTGGCTTATTGAATACGGTGCCCGAGCGTGTCAGGCTAAGGCATGGCTCAGTTGGTCACGCAGCAGGAAACTCAGTCATGAAATCGCAAAGTTCAAATCCTGGCTACAGTTGGACTCAGCCAATCATTCTTCTGAATTTCACATTCATGGTGAGGCTCTAGCACTTGGCTGAGGGTGAGCAGAGGCTGTCCAAGAGAAAGTCTGAACCCCACTCCAGCAAGGTTGAATTTATTTCATTCGGATGATCATGTCTCCTTAAGCTGGTCGTACCTTGAATTTTTTTGGCACCGTGCATAGGTAACCGTGCTCATCGGAGGCATGCACTAAAATTGGCGTCTTTGCCGCGAGTGGGCTTTTAATGGAGAGTTTTAATGGAGATTTTCTCAAAATGGCGGCATGAACGCGAAGTGCATTTAAACACGTTCTGCTAGGGGGCACTATCCATAACAGGAAGCTTCTCGTTGTTAGCAAAAATAATTACCAAATAAGACCAGAGTATTTTCTTTTTTTTATTGCCGTTCATACCATAATCACGCGATGAGACTCATATCACAGAGCAAAGGACACAATGAACTCCCGTCAGACAGCCAAAACTTCACATCATATCACGGAATGGCCCAAGAGAATAACGCCACAGAAATCCTGTTGGACCCCCCCCCCCCACCCAAAATAACCCTCTCTTAGCCAAACGCAGACGGCGCTCCCTCGTGCTTTGTCAAGAGCGGTCTCGCTGCAGTTCAGTCACACAACATATTTACTCAGTTTTCGCCTCGAAGGCTGGACTAAGTCAAGTTAATCGAAGGGCTCAATTACACTACTGTCTTGTCGCG